CTTATAGCTTATGTCGAGAGCTTTCCAAAACACTGTAATAAAGTATTTTTTTATTAAGTACTTTTTGAGTTATTTTATATTTTAATCTGACATATTTTGATATAAAAATTAAAATATCTCGTAAAATATTTAGTTTTCGATAATCTTACCGTAATACTTTTATGTATAGAATAATGAGACAAATCAATTAGTGTAAAGAAAAAAACAAATAATTGTTTTAAAAAATACATTGTAAATAATTACATATTTTTTCTTAAAAACAATTATTTTTTTTTACTAATTGATTTGTCTCATTATTCTGTACATAAAAGTATTACGGTAAGATTATCGAGAACTAAATATTTTACGAGATATTTTATTTTTTATATCAAAATATGTCAGATTAAAATATAAAATAACTCAAAAAGTACTTAATGAAAAAATACTTTATTATAGTGTTTTGGAAAGCTCTCGGGATAAGCTATAAGAATATGCAATAAAAAATAGGGGATTCCATTTAAGAAATTAAAGGTGTCCTTGACTTGACCTTAACGATGCCATCCAAGGTCAAACCAATGACACCATCTTATGTTCCCCTCAAAACCATACAATTTTTGTTCAAAACGTTTTTCTCTAAAATGCTTAGTTTTTGAAAGAAAAGGGGTGTATGGGTGGTCTAGGACACCCTGTATATATCACGAATACATCGTTGTATTCGTTTCAAACAGTGCTACAATTTTTATCATATCGAAATATCCACATTATTATAAAAAAATTATGCATACCTCTCCGTTCGTTAACACAGATAGTTTTTGAAAGCAACCATTATGCCCACAATAGAGTTCAGTTTGAAACATTTAATTTGATATCTATTTGTTATGGTCTATCTTTTTTAGTTTAAAAGATAAAAGGGGATAGTCACTTTTTTCAAAACACTATAATAAAATATTTTTTCATTAAGTATTTTTTGAGTTATTTTTTATATCTTAGTCTGACATATTTTGATATAAAAAATAAAATATTTCGTAAAATATTTCATTTTTGATAATCTTACCGTAATATTTTATGTACAGAATAATAAGACAAGTCAGTGTAAAAAAAAGAAAAAAAACCAAATAATTGTTTAAAAAAATACATTGTAAATAATTACATACTTTTTCTTGAAAACAATTATTTTTTTTTATATCATAAGATTATCAAAAACTAAATATTTTACGGAATATTTTATCTTTTATATCAAAATATGTCAGACTAAGATATATTTATTTTTCAAATAAAATATATAAATTTTTCTATATGATAATGGGCAATTTTTTCATTTTAAATTTTATTTTTTCTATAAGAAAGATGCAAAAATTATTCTATTATTTTTTAAGATGTATTTATACATATATATGTATTATTGAACTCTATATACAGTTCAATAATATTTATCACGCAGTTGCTAGGAAACTCGTTATTTTGATAAATTGACAGTTATGATTTTTAAAAAAATTCTCAGTTGACACCAATTCAAAATAATTATTTTAAAATTATTTCAAAATTACTAAATTTTATATATTCCATGTATATGTATATTAATATCATAAGATAAAAATATAGAAAATATAACAAAAAAAGAGCAACAAGTAATTTTAGAAGAAAATTTCTCGTTTCTAAAGTGCTGTACAATTTTAGAAGCAAAAATGCCCTGTGATGGTAAAAATCCAAATTGTGATAGAAGACGCGAATTACTAGCGCAACTGAAATGTGTAATCAGCTCTATGGATAGGAAGTAAGATTTTTATTTAGCTTGATGTTGATGAGTATGTGTGGAATGTGGAATGAGTAATAGTTCATCGGAATTGTATGTGTAGGAAACCATGTGAGTGGGACGAGCCACTTTGTCCACCTATAATATATTGCCCTGCAGAACTACCATCTTGTATTCAGTCTTTTGTAAGTTCCTAGCACTAGTTTTTTCTATTTGCTCCCTTTAAGGCCCTTGCACAATACTAGGCGATAGCGATAGCGATAGGCGGCAGCGATAGCGATACAAATAGAAACAGAAAATTTCAACACTAAAGAATGCATATGCCAATGCAGAATGTTCTCTGCAGAGAATAACATTCTGCATTGGCATATGCATTCTTTAGTGTTGAAATTTTCTGTTTCTATTTCTATCGCTATCGCTACCGCCTATCGCTATCGCTATCGCCTAGTATTGTGCAAGGGCCTTTAGGCTGTATTTCGATTCCCCACCCGGGTGCACTCGATATTATAGACTAGATTCAGAGAGCACGCTTTTAGCGCTATGAGCGTGTTCTATCCTTGTTCAACTTTTGGTAAGTAATAAAGATAGAACGACTCTGTTAGCCAAAGAGTAAAGAATAACAGGAGTGAACATTTAGTGTTAAGCAAGCGAACGGAAGTGACTATATATAAGGCCCTGCGCACAATAGAGAAAATATTAGGAATAGGAATAAAATATTAAATATCAGGAGGAGCAATTTGGAATTATTTTACTTCAAACAAGGAAACGGAATGGATTAATTATTATTTCTAATTTCTATTTTTTTATTTCATTATGCGTTAATCCATCCCGTTCCCTTGTTTGAAGTAAAATAATTCCAAATTGCTCCTCCTGATATTTAATATTTTATTCCTATTCCTAATATTTTCTCTATTGTGCGCAGGGCCTAAGTGGACGGTCAAGATGGCCGCTCAGGGACGAATTGCAGCATGACAGAGACACTGGAAGTACTTCAAAGACCTGGCAATACACTATGATCTTACAATTAACACTTATTAATAATATTTTTTTAGCCTGATATTGGCTTTTCCTCTTACTTATTTAGAATCGATGATCGTGCGCAAAATAAGTGCAGATTGGAACAAGTAAGGCAATAAGTGGCTGTACACGGCCTTGAAAAATCTCGAAAAAAGTAGACGGTCAAGATGGCTGCGATGACGTATTAAGGCCCTCACACACAAATTGACATAGCTGCATATGCATAGCATAAGACCATCTGGACCAATAAGCATGCTATGTAAATCAATATGGCGATTTGATTTCGATGCTCATTGGTCCAGACGGTCTTATGCTATGCATATGCAGCTATGCCAATTTGTGTGTGAGGGCCTTTAAGCCTGATCTACAATGAGTCGTTAGTCGTTAGTCGCAAGCAAATTGATCAACCACAGTCTATTATTCCAAGAATATTCTAGGAAGAATCGATTGTGGTTGGTCAATTTGCTTGCGACTAACGACTAAGGACTCATTGTAGACCGGACATTACCGTTCGCAATATGTCTACTCCCACTACTGATATGCTCACTCCTGTTATTCTTTATGGCCTTCGCACACTGAACGCGTTGAGCGATGGACGATATCCAATGAGAGCTCTGCTTCATCGCGTCCAGTGTGCGAGGGCCATTACTCTTTGCTGTTAGCCCTGATAGCGTCTCCCCGAACCCAGCCATAATGTACGTGCCATATACTATAATTTCGGATGCACCCACAAGGTGTGAACCCATGCAGCAGAATATCATAACGCGGAACGAGAGCGGAACCAATCACGAGCGTTCCGCAGTTTTTGCAACATGGATTCCAAGGGTGCAAACCCATGGCAGCGGAAAACCTATTCCGCTAGAAACTATTGAAAACAGAACGAAACTGTGGAACGCTCGTGATTTCCGCTCTCGTTCCGCGTTAAGCCCGAATCACACCAGCGGCTCGCGGCTGCGATTGCGATTGCCTCAGCCAATCGAAAAGCACCATTTGCAAGTATGATTGGAGCGTAGCAAATCACAATCACAAACGCAATCGCAATCGCAGCCGCAAGCCGCTAGTGTGATTCGGGCTTTACGCTAATCCGCTGCATGGGTTCGCACCCACAGACTTGATGCACCTGAGTGGGAAATTGGAACACAGCCTTAAAGCCCGTATCAGATTACGCATTGAAGATTGAGATTGAAGATCGAAGATTGAAATTTGACCAATCAGGACAAAGAAATTTTAGTCCCTTTTATTCTGATTAGTCAAATTTCAATCTTTAATCTTCAATCTTCAATTTTCAATGCGTAGTCTGATACGGGCATAAGGCTTATTTTACAATAAGTTGTATGTCGTTAGTCGTAAGCAAATTGACCAATCACAGTCGAATATTTTCGGAATAATCGACTGTCGTTGGTCAAGTTGCTAACGACTAACGACGTACGACTTATTGTAGGACGGGCTTAAGGCCGGTTCTACAATAAGTCGTATGTCGTTAATCGTAAGGAAATTGACCAATCACAGTCGATAATTCCAAAAAATATTGACTGTGGTTGGTCAATTTGCTTACGGCTAACGACATACGGCTTATTGTAGAACCGGCCTAAAGGATCAGGTTTAGTTAATCGGCTTTCATTGACTACGTTTACACGTCACCCCTAATCGGGTTTAATAACATCCGTAGTTCGAAGGCTGGCCAATCACAGTCATTCCATTCTTCAGAGGAATAGCTGTGATTGGTCAGTTTCACAACTACGGATGTTATTAAACCCGATTAAGGGTGCCGTGTAACAGAGCTCATTAACAATAGTTTAATTAACTATTTTAATCATCTGAATTCTTTAGAATCAACATTTATATAATTCGATTTATTTGTGAAATATATTATAAATCGACTGATTTTAAACATATATATTGCAGGGATTTGTCAAACCGTGTAAGAGTTTTGATTTTCGCTCCAGCATAAGGTACAGATGTGAATGTATTAAAAGAAATGGACTACAAGATAGATGCATGATGTGGGATTGCATGGGTAGACCAGAATGTATGACAAAACTGTATCCAGTCTGTGAACCAGGTCGTGCCGCTTTATTGAAGCTAACCGATTTGGGTGATACAGAGGTTGCTCTTAGAAAATTCTATTCAGCGGATCAAGCTAGAGAGGCCGCTCTGGCTGCGTATTGTAAATTATCTTGCGATAAAGTTCATCAAAAACAAATTTTGTCATGCAATAACGAAGTTCTTTGCGCACCTCCAATATCTTGCGCAAGAAGTGACGTATCGAATAACAATGATAATAATTTGTGGTGTAAATCGTTTTGCGGTGACACTTCGTCATCATATCAAGTTTGCGTACCGTCAGTATATCCTAATTATATGTTAGAATCTTGTGGCGTATGTTGTCCACCTCGTAAATTAGAAGAAACTTGTTTCTCATATAATTCACCACTGTATTTGCCTTCCTATCCACCAACTTGCTTATCTTGTTCGACAATTTAACTTTCAAGATCTTTTAATAAACTTATTCAATATTTATTCAATTGGCTTTATATCCAAGCAGAATAGAAAATCACAATAATATCAAAATGACATCATAATGACTATCAAAAGTCGTCATTATGATGTCATTTCGATGTCATTTCGATGTCATCTTGATGATCATTTGATATAATTTTGATTTTCTGTTCTGCTTGGGTATATATTTCTCTCTTTCTTTAGACATTGTTATATACTTTGAAATATATATATTATATTGTTATATGT